TGGGGTGACACTCAGTTACCGCTCCGGGTGTCACCCTGCCTCGGGACGCCCCTGATTGATAGAGGAACCAGTTATATTATCTTTGTTCAGCCAGTAAGTTGAACGTAAAAAATATTACAGTGTATGGCCTGCTTTGCTCTTCCCCACTGCAGTTCCCTCGGGGTTCTAACCCTTTAATACTGTGTCCAAATGAAAAAAAAATATTTTAACTGTAGTGGGCTATAGGATACCTATTTACAGGGATTAAGGCATTGATATGCCTGTTCCAAATGTGGGTAAAATCAAACTTAGGGTTACCTTCAGTAAAAGGTGAATATGAGAGTCTGCCTCAATGACCAATAGGAAGACTTGGTAGATATGGTAGAGTGGGGCCAAGGCAACTTTTTCCATTTAACTTCACCTGCCTATATTACCGATCAGTATTTTGACAAGCGTATCCACTGAAGGTAACCGGTATTAATGCTTTTTCTTATCAAATGCTCCATGTGGTTTGTCTTGTTTTGTCCCTTTTTTCTTAGACCACCAGGTATTGTATATTAGAGAATCTAATCCATAAATATTCTATATATCCGACTGTGCCACCTTAAAGCCCCATGGTTTTTTCTTGTGCTATTATTTCAATTTAGGGGTGTGGTGTCCTAATTTTCTTTAGTGGTTCAACCAATTTTGTTGTCAAAGAAGCAAGCGCATGAGAGCAAGTCTTTTTTGGGCTATCCTGTCAAACTTTTCCCAGGATTCCACTTCAGCTATTAAACATGACATCTCAGCAAAATCTTGTTAAAGTGTATGTGAAGCGAAAAACCTATTTTCTAGCTTTGGATAGAGTGTGGAAGGGTTGGAAAGCTGGTCGGGTTTTCACTGCTATCCAGGGCACCTATAAACGGGTGTACCCTGACTTCCTGTCCGACTGACAATGGTTTCACCAGACAGGAAGTGTAGGAAAATCTCCAACAGGGACAAAAATAGAAATACACAGGGGTTCTAACCTTCCCTACTCTACTAAAGATAAGCATTGCTACTAATGCTGGGCACACACCTTACAACCATTGCAAGACTTTTGTCTTGCGATGGTTGTATGGTACTTACAAAAACGTACGATCTGTCTATCTTGGACAGGCAGATCGTACTTGCGATGATCGCAAGCCGCGCCCCCGAGGGGCGGGCTTCCGATGACCGCAATGACGAACGGGCAGTGTGCGCTTGCGCACACCGGGCCGTCCGGCTTTTATCTTACGAACATGCTACACAACCCGCCAAACATCGTACGATGCTCGGCGGGTTTTCGAACATGTTCGTAAGTTTAAAGTCGTGCGACCTAACAGTAGTAGAGGTCGCACGGCTTCCACACACCTTACGATAATCGTACGATCGTGGGATTTCCCGCGATTATCGTACGATTATCGTAAGGTGTGTGGGCACCCTTAGGCCTGTATTGCTGTTGGAGAGTTCCCCTTGCCTGCTGTGTGGTAAAATGTTGTCAGCAGGGCAGGAAGTGAGGGTAAATCTCCCTAATGGGGCCTTAGATAGCTGTAAAACATGATAGGGGTTCTTACCCTTTATTGGTCTATATAAAACTGAGAAATATAGTTTTGGCACTTAAGAAAAGAGATTTGGCTGATATGGAGCAGCAAACTAAATTAAATAGAATGCATTAAAAGCAATTACATGTGAAAAGACATGCTGTAAAATATAGCCTGTTTTTTAGTTTGGGTGCCAAAACACATTGATTTCCTGCTACCTTCAATTATTTCTGGTCAGGATTAGAAGATGTCAAACCTAGCAATATATATGCATTTCCTTACCTATTGTAGCTGTTCCAGTACAGTTGGTTGTTGCTGATGATAGGGGAGTTTAAGATGGCTGCTTTATATTGACGCACAGTGTCTGTGTTCCCCGACAACTCTTCCTGCACAAACATAACATGACAGAGTCAATCAGCTCTCCTACCCATATGTGTAACTAGGAATCCAATATTAGCAGCAATGTGCTTCTACTTACTGCACTGAAGAGATGAGACAGAATCATTTCTGGGATAGAGGATGTCAAGCCTGTAAGCTGGAGTGGGCAAAGACACACCATATGGTCAGAAATACATTCAAAACAGAAATTCTTCAAATTAAGCAGAGGCAGATAGTCTGGGTTTATTAGAGAGCCGCAGAGGGAAATAAAGAGAAAAAATGAAATGCTACTCTGTGAGGGCTGTTTATGAAGTGTCAACCCCAATTTATTTTCAATAATACTGTCTATTTATAAAGCACTATAGCGAAATACCTGTCCTTATTTTACCAAACTACAACATTGTGCCTTCAAACAAAAATAAGCCAGCAAAATCTTATTGGTTGGTTGACTGAACTCATTTATACAGATATTTGAAAGTAACACAATCACCAGCTCATTCAGGGCAAAGTGACAGTGCCTCCTGATGTCTCATCCCCTGATTTCCCCCAAGCAAGAAATACTCCACCCCATCTGTGCTCCCTTGAAGTCTCCCCACAGCAAGAGTCAACCCTGAGCAAGCTTTGTAGCAAGAGGTGGATGGCATTACTGCCGCCCTACGTGACAGTTTATGGACCTGCAGCTTGGTGGCTCAGGCCCAAACACTGTCACATTGGGACTATCATTTGCTCTCTGATACCCAGAAACCCGGCTCCATTATAGTAATAGAGCAAAGGCTCCAATATAAAGGGGTGGCAGCAAGGGTAGGCAGATATGCAAATATACCTTGCTTTGGGTGACAGTGTCTCCCATATATTCACCCATTTAATTTCCCCATTATGGTGTTGTCTTACACCATGACGGCATTTTTTACAGATTGTGGCAATTTTTGCTATTTATAAACTAAGGTGTGAGGCGTGTGAGGAACATCACAGATATCAGACTATAAATGTCATGCAAGAAAAAGGTTTTAAAATTATTGAGACCTTTACCAGTGCTACATAAACCTCTGATGCGTTAATTTTTTTTAAAAAAAATCATCCTTACCTTATGTGCTGCCCAGTCCATCCAACCTTTGGCATTTGGGTCAATATTAAGGAGCACTAGACCTTCAACTGTATTAGGGTGTGCAAGCTGTAGAAGAAAAGATATAGCTATGAGAAATGCCATCAAGGACTACAGATCTCCTTTATTTTAGTGAACATTTTATATTTGTAATTGACACAGCAACCTCTAAAAAAAGTTTTTTTTTCAAAATGCTTTATATTACATTTTCAAAACTTAAAACAATGGAGATCAAAAACAGTAAAGAAATACCATACAAAAGTATGTGTAGCCATAGATTGTCTTGATACACAAATAGTCAAAATTGTATTCAATACACAAAATATACAATAACTAGCACTGTAGTAATACGACATGAGGGAGAAAATGATCAAAAGTATCTACTCCAACAGTGTCCAGTTATTGTTGCTGTCACGCCACTCCATTTATTCAAATCACCACTGCTATAACCATCACACAGATGTAGCATCCACAAATTCCAATTTTCCCAGATAACCCTTTAGTTGTTCCTCCAAATACCAACTCGTAAGTCGAAATGGGAGAACCAAGTCCCTTAATTCCCAATCTGAATAGTGATATATAATAAAAGGTTTCTATTTATTGAAACACTTTTCAGTATAATGGTCATGGTCAAGAATGGCCTCCAATCTTTCTCTCCACATCAAAGACGATGTAATGGATGTAAAGTGTTGAAAGGGCGGTGGTTGCAGGGACAGCCAATGATGCATTATAGTCCATCTAGCTAACAAAAGAGCAGAAAATCTTTGCCCTATGCATAGTGGACTGTGAGTCCCGTAACTAAACAAGCAAAGCCAAGGCTCCCTAAATAGGGAGATATGATGGAAAGAAGAGATGTAATGGATAATGGAATCCCAAAAAGCTACTGTGGATGCACATTCCCATAGGCAGTGGTATAAAGAAGCCCCGGCAAGATTACATTATGGGCAAGCAGTCAGATAAGGACCTTGGTCCATAAGCCTATAAAAAAAACTCAAAAGCCCAGTAAGCTTTATGAATGAAATGGAAATGTGTGTCCCTCCATTGCTCATTCGGGGTACAGTTTCTACGTTTCTATATACTGCTAGGATGCGATTTTCGACTTCTTCTAGTGGGATTTACTTTTTTCCGTTTAAAGATGGATGTTTTGGAAGAATTAGGGAGGAAATAAGAATTTAAAGCGGGGCTAAAACTTGGAAATAGAGTCTGGAACATTTATTGAAACCTTGTCCAGTATGGAGGTAAGAAATACCGTAGCCGGATTCCGGGTTTCGATACGCCAGTAATGGGTAACTTGCAGGTAGTATAAAAAATTATCCCATATGGAGTACTAAGGGCTTGACAAGATAGGGGTTGTAATGTATTAGGAACAAAAAGATGTAAGATAGGTTATCTTTATTGAATAGAAACCAGTTCCTAGCATTGCTACCAGCAACCTCTTGGCTATGACTACATCCTACTGAAAAATCTGCATCTAGGAGAGGGACTGCTCATTTATCTTAGAGTAGGTCTCTTCTCTCCAATCAGCACCCTTAGTACCAGGAACAGCTTGGGTACAGAAAAGACAGATGCAAACACATGGCCGGGTCATGCTGCTGGCAACTAGATTTATCTTCAAAATAGGTAACCCATCATCACTGGCATTTGTTTGGAGGCTGCAGAGATGAGAGCACATGTACAATTCATATATTAACAAAAACACCAAGTAATGACATTGTGTATACATTAGAAAAATCATGAATTCTAGGTTTAAATTTAGGTAGTATAAACATCTTAATATGACTCCCCTCTTTCTTTACCTCTTGTAATCCCCTATATAGTGGACTGGAAAGCTTAGGGCCAGTTAAGTGTGCTGCAATATACATGTGCTAAGAAATTTTCTTACAGGATAGACAGCAGAGTGAACAGATGGATTAGCCCCTCCATCTCCGGTTGCTTTCTTCAATGTCCAGCCACATGTTGGGAGCAGGAAGATGACCTGGTTCTATTGGTTAACTGCAGTAGACTAAAAGTCAGGTCTTCAACCTAACTTTGCTGTGTTTAATAGCTGTGTTTTTCTCAGGACTAGCTGGACAAAATTACAAATCCTTTATTAAGCTCGCAAACTGAACGAAAAAAATAGAACAGATTCCTCCATCAACGCTACAAGTGCATTGATCGAGGAAATCTGAAACCCTTTCTTTTGTATTCTGACAGCGACAGCTGGCTCTGTGCATTTGAAGATTTTCCGACTGGCTTCTTCGATCAGCTGATCAAGGGATGCCGGCCGAAAGGGTGCTGACAGCGGCACCCACTGTGCAAATTCTGTCTGGTTCCTGAAGAACCAGATGAAATTCTCATAATTTTGGCCAGCATTAGTTAGACTAGCTCCCACATATGTAATCCAGCTGTGTATTTAGCCTTTTAGCTGAAGTTTAATCAAATAGTGGTCAGATTTGGCAAATGTTTTCCACAATTCCAGCCATACAGTGATTGCATCTGATGATATTTGAAGTTATCATACCTCCACTTGTATATGGGCTTGCTACACAAAATAATGCATAGCTGAATCTCTTTGAGCTCAGGTTGCTTCGAGTGGTTGCACAATTACAATACACAACCATCAATAGCTTGCGCCAGCTACTTATTCAATGAAAAGGTCAGTCTACCAAAAGATCACGTTTTTGGTGGATGCTGGGGGCTGAATCACCCACTTGCTATTGAGGTATTTTGGGAACATGGACAGCAGCATTTCTTCAACCAGGCTCCAAACTCTTCCTAGCTTCCAAAGCCATTACAAAGGGGTTTTCGATTATTTTATATCACAAAGAATGCAGCAGGCGAACTGAGACTGGTGTTATCAGACATTCTGGAAATGCACTGGAAAGATCTCCCCACAGGTGTACTAGCGAAATATAAGAACTGCATGTGCCTTAGCTGACTGGTATCTGCCCATAATTGAAATACCTGCTTTAAGTGGACTAAGCCTTTACAAATCTTGCTGCAGCTCTACAAGAAAACCCTTCTGACTTATCCCAATGACCTTCGACAAAAAAATGTGTCTCCTTCTGTATCATACTCTAAAAATAGACCATAAGATTAACTTCAGAGGAAAAATGAACAGGTCTGTTCCTGGTGGTATGTCCACTTGCGTGCTGCTTAGAAATATTAATAGTATTAATATTAATAATTTACTATATAATTTAAACTTATGGGGACTGAGTTTTAGAACTCCGGGTTTCAACCAATAAACTGTTATTAGGACCTCGTGTATGAAACAGCAACAACAGGGCTGGAAAGAATTAGTAGATTGCAGGAATGCTTATTGGGCAGGCCATTGTTAATCCAATGCCAGTGATATCAACATACTCCTCCCCATTACATAGACCCTCAGTAAACGTGCTGTAGCAGGACCATGCTGTTGCAATTTGGTAAATCTTCACTAAGTGGAACAGTTAAGTATAACAGAATTAATTTGAATAAAATAGCGTGACATAGGGATTTGAAAACAAGAAAAGAAGTCTGGGTGATGACATCCTGGGAAAAAAACCCAGAAAGATTTAACAAAATGTCTTGGACAATGAAGACTTGTTTTGGCCTATGTCACCCAGAACGATTAATCAGGATTTTCGATTTACCATGTTATACTACACAAAGAAAACTAAAAAGAGAAATTGGCTGTTTGATATAGGACACAGACAAGGACAATACTAAATCTACCCATAGACTTAGGCAAGTTAAAGTGTATCTAAACATAAGAACAAAACTGAAATTTAATGCAGCTTCCCAGCCCTTAAATTTGGTTTAGTGCATTAGTTTTATTTTTTGCCTTTATTGTCACTTGATAATTCTGCCAGCAATATACATACACTCCTAGGGTGACAACATTTGCTCACTACCACACTGAGCAAATGTTGTCACCCTAGGAGTGTAAGTATATTGCTGGCAGAATTATCAAGTGACAATAAAGGAAAAGATAAAACTAATGCAATGTATATATGGGGCAGCAGTGTTGTCACCTAATGACAAGAAATGTGTTAGAACTATTTAGCATCTCCCTCTTTCCTCATCTCTATGACATGTTCTGTATATATTCTGTAGTCTACAGAAGTGAACTGAGCAGGGTTGATTCCAGAGCAGAGTACATAAAAAGCACTGAATTTCTGGCAGGCTTAACAGTTATTGCTTTAACTTATTAAGCAGATATCACAAAATACTTCAATGGTATATTTAACAGACCAAAAAGAGAGCAAATAATATTTTACAGATATGTAATATGTAAACCTATACTTTAATTCAGGCATGATCCAACTCCCCTCTGGACGGTGTGGCAAATTGGATCCCCTGAAAAGAAGCTTCCCACGCTCTAATCTGCTTGCATATAACTTTGGACACCTTGATAATAAGACCTGTTGTCATGAGCAGACATGAGAGAATAATTCAAAATCTGCTTTACTGGCAAATTGCCCAGTCATCTCCCACAATCCATTTAACCAGCTTCATAATAATAATTTTTAAGGAATTCTATTGTGGGCAAGTATTGAAACCAAACAAAATTAGGCAACTAGTATTTTTTAGAGGTCATGGTATAGGCAAACTGCGTCCAGTTGGATGAATGATATTTGCCACAATCTGTAAATCAGCTCGGTCCAAACTCATAGTATCGCACAATGGAAAATCGCATATTGCAACTGAATGCAGAGGCAACTATTTATGATAATAAAGAGTAGATGCATAGTCCTATACAACCGGCCCTTTGAGGGTAACCATACTGCTGATGCGGCCGCCAATGAATTTGAGTTTGCCACCCCTGCCTTATAGAGTCTGTTAAATCTGAATTGACCCGGATTGCCAAATTCGAGTTGTCGTGGATAGGGAGAATTTCGTCATTTAAAATGTTCATACTTCCTAGGATCCTATATTATTTCAGGACCATCCCTATCTTGCTTCCAGCATCATTCTTTTTACAGCTGCAGCGTATAATTGATGATTATATATGGAAGGGGAAGAAAAGCAGAGTGAGACGCACGACTATGTGGCGTCATAAAAATAAAGGGGGAATGGGGCTCCCAAATCTTTACTTTCACTGTGGGATTCACATAGGGAGGTTTAATTACCGCTACATTCTGATGTGACCATTTTGACATTCTCGATCCCAAGGTGGAAAAATTCTAAGGTTTAGTAGATGATGTTGTATAAGTCCTATATGTGCTAACATACCAAACCTGTATCTAATTTTTGAATGTAGTCAACATTGTTGTATAGCAGATATTTTATAATTTAATAAAAATCTAAAGTTTAAAAAAAATAAAATATATGAATTGCAAAAGAAACAGCAGAAGCTAGTTTATAAAATGTATTTGAACAAGAGCACTAATAGATGAGAAGTATGTGACATTATACAGGGCAAAAGAAAGTACCCTGCTATGGCTCAGCTAAGGTTTTTGAAGACGTAAGCTCTTTTCTGTGTTGAACCTAATCAATGTCTTTTTTAATCTGTGCAATTCTGGATCGATACCCCTTTAGCAGAAGAAAGAGAATATCTAGTTTGATGTTAGTATGTGATTCAATAGACATTGCCTCAGGCTAATTAGAGCTGTATCTGACTGAATGATTTGACGCATTCAGTACAGTTAGGGAGCCGTGGCCCTCGCCCTTGGATGTTCATAGGCCTGCCCGATACTGACAGACTAGGGGTTCAGGTATAAAGTATGAATTAGTGGGTGAATTCCCCACCTCCTGACTACTTGTCAGTGTCCATAAAAAACGGGACTTTACTTCACCCTCCTGGCCCGCACCCATTTTTGGATGCCAAAATCTCTTCATAAATATTTAAAGCCATGCCTTCAATCTCAAATTGCCCATAACTACACCTAGGATGAGGTTCACTTTTATTCTTGACCTCCTCTACAGCTTTGAATAACCCTAGTCAGAGATAGTTACCGTGTATCTGGCAAGGGCATAGGATCCAGCACCAACGCCAATTCCAATAATACTGGGGAAACTGCATACAAAAATACAAATCAAAGTTACATACAATGTGTAATTGATCACAGTAATTTATGTTCCAGATTTGTATCTGCATCTTTACTTACTTCAGGTACTGCAGCACGCAAGGGATGGTTTCTGCCAGCTGATCAAGTGATGGGTATTGATACCTGATTTGACACAAGGTAACAGCATGAGTAAATAAATATAGCATAGCATATAGTTTTCATGTAGCCCTGATGTTCTAACAGCTATACTGCACTAAAGTAGAAGAATGGAAAATCATCAGTTTTGCCACTACAAGTCAAATTCTTGCTTTCAAATTTAAACTTCACTTGTGAATTAGGCAGTAGAATCCAACTGATTGGGGTATGTAACACCTCCAGAGTTGTAAGCATTTCCATTCAAAGCAAACCATTACGTTTATTACGAATTATTCAGAGCAAAATATAGAATCTAATAATAAATATGCAATACAGGTGTTTGCCCAAGTATGTAATTTTGTTTACAGATGTGCGGCTTGGAAAGAAATGTATGGGCCATGCAGATTGACACAAGGTCCGTCTGAGGCAATATACTTCTGTGTGCTTGTCAAAAACACGCTAGCCGTTATACGCCATATAAAAGTAGTTTGTTTCAAAAGTAGACACTTCCCCCCTCATTGACACAAAAAAAAAACTGTCCCTATTATGGTTTACATTTGAAATCTATAGTGTAGGGAAACATATGCAGTACAACAATTTGAGATTTGGGCTTCTGTGTGAACATTTCTTGCTGCCCAGAGCAACCTACCATAATTTGTTTTAGATCTGGAGTGCAAACAAATCACTTGAAATATGACTGGGCACCACTAAAGACCCCTGGCTAGCTCTTCACCACACAATCCCAGACCTGATCTCAGCCTAACAAAAATGGCAACTTTCCTCTGCTTGGCCGCTAAACTGTAGCCAGGGCTTGGGGAAAAAAGTTAACCTACTAGAAGTAAAAGATTGCATGAACGCGTTTTTAATTAACAAGTGAATTAACCAGCAAATGTCAGTCTAAATTTCTCAACAATTGGGAACCTTGGTTACATTACACACTTCCTACTTCAAACCCAACCCATCCAGCCTTGGATACGTCTAAAAACAACCACCTGTCCTACCCCTTAAGGAAAATCCCTCTCTAGCAGCACACTTGCTTCCCTCTGTCTGAACTTATTCTTCCTCTCACCAATTCCATTCCAGACCTTTATGTTGCCTTTCACAATTGCTCCTTAACATGTGTAGAAGAGCCCCGATGATCATGAAAACATGTACAACCTCCCACTACTATGTCCAAACTTTTTCACACCTCATTATGGAAGTTTAGTACTGGACACTTCTACCCTGAATGGTCATTTCCTTAAATAGTTAGTGGCATGAACAAGCTTGGCATATCTGTTTTACATCTGAACAATGAAAGAAAACTCACCCAACAGGATAGACAGCTGCCCCCTCCTCTTGTCCTGGTGCATCAATGTGGCACACAACGAAATTCTTCACTATCTCATGCATGTCCTCGTTTTTAAACAGTGTTTCAAAACACATTTTATCTGGTGGATGTCACAAAGGAGAAAGTGATGACTAAACATAAAGAAGCAAAATGATCAAACAGGCATCAGAACAGAGGCAGCACAACACTAAAAGTTAAATGAAAGAGGAAGTTGCTGACATTTCAGCAACGGACATTGGAAATCAGTCCTTATGATTATTTTTTTCTGCATAGCTCCACTGTGGAAGTTTACAAAATGGACATGTGACTTGCAAATAGTGTATGAAGACTTGTGAAATGTGTACATACTCCGTTACACAGAGTCACAAACTGACAAGCATACTGCAAGTGTAAGGCCTAGAGTGATGACATGCCTGGAAAAAATATTATCAGAATCACCTAGATAAAATTCCGTCTTATCCATAAATTCTTCTGAACAGTTTGCTTCTATGTACACATGTACATTAATCAGCCAGCTCAGCTACGCTAGCAGACTTACATGTGATTTTGGTGCACTGATTCTAATACACACAATCAAGCTGATATCTGATCCTGTTGTCTCGTGCCTTGCTTTAGGGCTTGATTATATATAACCTGTTTAATGCTGGCCACACAAAATGCGATTTTTTTTTTTTAGTGATACCACAGGGTGAAACGTTTTACAACAGTCAATCCACTATCATATACACCAATCCACAAGTGAAAACAAACTGTCCAACTTGGTAAAAAATGTCTATACTATCGGTCAGCACAAGAACATTTGGGAGGATAGTCACTAGAGTTGGAAGTGGAACTCTCAGTCCTGGAGAAAATAACAAAGTAGGTTTCCCTATATTTTTTTAACAAATGTCTAGCTAGCAATTATCCATATGGGAGTATATGTGCTATGAGAATTCTGATAACAAATCACTATTAGTTACTATAGACAGGCAATGTATATTTAATGAAGAAAATAGAACACAGGAGACCGTGAAAAGGAGACACAAGAAAGCCATTCAAAATAGTAGACAACAATCTAGAATACAGATGTTAATAGACAACCAGAGAATAGGTGTTAGAAAATATTAAAATGAGGAGGAATGGAAGGACAAGGTCAGCTGAAGAAGTAAACAGAACAGGGCACAAAGATAGACACACAACAGGTGTAGTGAACACAGATAGCCCTCATACTCACGGTCCATCCCCACATCATGGAATGTTACTATCGCTGGACGCTTGGGTTTGGGGGAGCCCTGAATTGTGACCGTCACCATCCCATAGGGAGTCTCAATAGAGTGCTTCTACACCACGAGACAGACAAGGAAGGAAGACAGGTTGAGTGTACACTGACATACCAGTGCCAAATATATACGCATGGAACAGGGCTTGATGTGGTACCAGAAAATTCACACATGAAAAAATAAAAACAAATTCAATGTCCATGGAATCCTCAAACGCATTTCTATTTTTTCACTCCCACTAAAAACAGCAATAGAAAAAAACAACAAACAAAACAAAAAACAACCACAAATGAGTCCAGTCTATAAACCAGCACTGCACAACAATGGTACCCTAATGAACGTTAGCAAGTGCACAACAACGTACATGCTTTAGAACACCACAACACAAAGCTGAACAAAAACAAACAACATTTTACAAAAATGTTGCAGGTCAGTTAATACCTGCATTGTGGTACATTGGCAGCCCATTCAAAATGAATGGTAGCCTTACCACAATGGGCGTTAACGCTAAAAATACTGCACATATGTAGGTAACATACTGCAACACAGGGGAGCAGTCTGAAACTATGTTGATTTCATCTTCTCTGGTCAAACAATAGAATAATGTTTCCGAAATAAGATATCCTCCACCAAGGGCTGGAAACCAACCTTATGCAAAAATATTTTTGTTTTATTTAGAAGCGGTAAAAAGGCTGCATTCACACTCCAGAGTTGCATAGTGCCATATATTATGCTTTTTCTTGCCAGCTCGTATGTCGCTGATGTGGGCGAAACCACAGGCTGTATTGGAGGAAGCAGGTATTTGACACACCCAGCAGTGTTGAATACCTACAGCAGTTGGGAAGCAGCAAAAAAATGGAGTTTGAAGACACGGGCCGCTAAGAAGATAAGTATGCATGCTTTTTTTTTCACAACGTGAGCGTTGTTTACTAGTGACCCAGTGATGATAGGGTCACTTTAAAAATGGCCATATATGCAACTGGACATTGAGGGTAACCTGAGCACCAGAAAAGAATATGTCTGTGTAGAGAATAGCAGACATATACCTACGATACAAAACACATACTGGTAATGAGTTTTGATGTGTTTTTATGCCTGTACACATCATGTACATTCATGGACACACGAACATAAACTTAGCAGGGTGTATAAAACACAGAATGTTGCATACCTGCTCTTGTACTTGCAGTAATTTTGCAGCTAACTCAGCTGCCTGAAAATAAAGAAAAAATAAAAGATATGTGATAAAAATGGTGGTGTTTTCCTGTAAATGCAGAAGAAGAGACTTGACATTACCTTTAAAGGGTCCTGCAGAACATTTTCGTCTGTGATCTGAACTTCTTGTAACTCCGACATCTCCAGATCTGTAACACAGAAAATATAAATTGTTTACTTCAGCGGCACGTTAGAGTAATTGATGTTTATTTAGCACAGAAAAGAAATAAAGCCATGTTCTTACTACAGAACCTGATATCCAAAACTCTGGCCTATAATTAGACACACGGGGTCCTCCTCCACAACTCACCTCTCGTAACCTTAAATAGGATATATCAGTGTTCCTAACAGCAGCATTGTACAAAAGCAATGAAATAAACAGTCTGCTGAAGAAGGAAGTGCGGAAATCTTTCACAATCTTCCCTGCTGCTGGCTCTACCCTTCTACTTGAACAATCCAATAAATCTATATTCAATTGGGTAGGCCATTCAGCTACAGAGTTTTGGCACATCTAGAAGATTGCTGAATAATAAAGCTGTTACAGTGCAATATGCAAAGACTTTGGATGGTCTTCAACTGACTGCATGACAAGACATCACCTGATGTCAAATGGGAGGGAAGCTATACAAGGGAAGGCTCAAAAATAAAACTTTTGTTCCTACCAGTGGGATGTAGGAAGACCATTTCCAACACTTTCCCATGCCTTTTTGTGGTGGAGAATTTTGCATATGCTGTGACACAGGACTATAGACTGCAAATTGACTTTTCTCAAGACACGGGATTTTTATCCCAAAATATTTAAACTGTACCAGAAAGGGTAGACCCACTACAACCTTGGCTGTCATAGTAAAACACTGGGGGGGACCCCAGACGCTGTATGAGCAAAACATTTCAGTATGTTGCACTGTATCGTGTGCAGCAAGTTCAGGTAATAAACCAATCGCTTTTAAACTTTTGTTTGATGACGCGGCAAGGTTTTCTTTTTTGGTCTTTTCGATGAAATCTTCATAGGGTTTTTTTTTTAAAGAAATATATCTAATGGAAGCACTGTCAACCCCTTTGCACAACAAGAAAATATTTTCATTAATATACTTTATTTAAGACCTACTTAGAGAATGTGTAACCAAGGAAGGCACTGTTTAGGTAAATCTAACAAAATACAAATATAATAGCAGCCTGTCCCCTGCTGGCAGCAGTAAAAGGAGTGGTGCAATGATGATGAATGGTAGCATGAAAACTTGGAGCCCATAGGAACTGGAACACTTATTTTTAAAGGTTCACTCAACAAAGGTAATGCATATTCCAATGCAGTCTAAGATCATGGATATGGAGAAAACCCACTGTTTTCAAGAGGGCCTGTTTACATCAACATACTGTTTTTAGAACACAAACCAAGTCCTGCTACATTTTTGATATACTGAAAAGCATTAACCAATTAAAGTCAACATCAATGAATAGAGTGCTCCTTAACAATGTACACAACACTTGCCTTAGCACGCATATGTAATGAAAGAGGTCATACGAAACTCAATGGGGACTGAAGGAATCTTTTAAACATGGAGCCTAGCATTACTGAATTCAGACCATTTATATAAAATGACAAAACGGCTTCAGCACCAGTAAGTCATGGCTGTAGGGCAGCGGTTCTCAACCTGTGGGTCGAATGACGATTTGCCAGGGGTCGCCCGGGAGTCTCCCGCTATTAGATAGCGGCTCCCGGCCGCTAGGGAGAGAAACACTTTCTCCCGGAAAGGTTTACTCTGCTCGATCGAGCAGAGTAAACCTTTCCCTGTGATCGTTTTTTTTTTCTGACATCGGGAGCAGCCGGCCGCCGTAAGTCAGGGGGAAAAAAAACACCATAGGAATGCATAGCTAGATTCCTACTGGCTATGTCACTTTGCAATAGCCAATAGCAAACTAACTATTGCACCCGCCCTCTGCTGCTGCCAATCAGCAGAGGGGGACCTGAAGTTCTCCATCAGGTCCCCTTCTAGTGATTGACAGCAGCAGAGGGCGGGTGCAATAGCTAGTTTGCTATTGGCTATTGCAAAGTGAAATAGCCAATAGGAATCTAGCTATTCATTCCTATGGTGTTTTTTTTAAAATTCTGATGGCGCTTAGGGGATACACAGCAAGCGCGCTCTTTTTCAGGACACCCAGCTCTCTGATGGAAATCTTTTTTTTTTTTAGGAAACTGTATATGGCAGTTGTAATGAGTATGATAACTTCCTTCTTAAAATGCCAGCTGCCCGACTGTTTCTGACCTCAGTACTTGCATGCAGCAAGTGATGTCAGAATCCATGTATGCTGAAGCATCGGCACCACCATAAGAGCCAGGCAACTAACATTTGTAAGAGTTCAGCACGGAAGCCTATACTCTGCTCTAGCGTATTCTAAATTTGTACACACACATGTATATATAATGTAAAATGTGCACTGGGATTGATTTACCAATGAACATGTTCACTTTAAACACCCAATCATGTACAGAGAACTGTAAAAAAAAAAAAAAAAAATTAGGAAATTCCTATATACATAATTGGATGATTAAAGTGAATACAGCTTCACTGAGGTAAGTGTATTCCTTTATCAGCCCCTTGAAGGTCACTCAACAGGGTCTCAACAGGCATGATGGAATGAGACACGTGAATACCTTCTGTTTATCTGTGCATACCACAGATAAGATTAGAGTGAGGGCTTTTAAATGCCCTAAGTAGGGTATACAAAGGTAGATTTTTGCACGAACCTTCATATGAAAAATACCATTGGAATGTTTTATAGTGGCTCCCAAACTGTAACGATTGTCGTTCCAAATTTAGTTTATTTTTGATTTAACATTATATTTTGCAATAAATGCATTTTCCGAACGAAAAGCACATTCACTGTTTGGAATTCATTCCATCGAGAAACATTTCCAACATGTCTCTCAATTGCATCATTCTAATTGAAAGATAATCGAACGAACGTTCCCAAAACGACTTCTTCATACAAAATTCTAACCATGTATACCCTACTTTGGTCCCTTCTCACCGTAATCTGGTAATACTGTCCCGCTTAAGAAAACAAAGAGAAGACTGCTACAGAGTAGATCTTGCTTGCTACAATATAATTTCCAGCAGCCGCGTGATCCCTAAATTTTACCGTTGGGGGTCACCACAACTTGGCAAATGTTACCAAGGGGTCCCAGCCCTAGAAAGGTTCAGAACCACTGCTGTAGGGCTTAATCAAATGATAAATGTATCATTATCTTTTAAATTACGCTTCTTCCGCTTTATCCCCAGCAACCACCCAAAGTCTTATCTTCAATTGTCCAGCCTCCTGCAAGATTCACATTGTACAGCCAGTGCAAACTCTTTGGTTGGTCCTTCAGTTCTTCTGTGCATATATGAAAAAGAGGCTATTCTTTGCCATGGAGAGGCAGCCGTTTATGCATTCCAATAATAGATGGCCTCTCTATAGGTATAATTGAGATTTACTCTGCGAATGCACAGAAGAACTGGAGGGACCGGCCAGAGTTTACATCGAGGCAGCCAGTTGAACAGCACAGATATCACAGGAGCGTGGACAGGAGAGTATAAGACTTTGGGGAGCGAGCCCAGGGACGAAAGGGAGGGTGATAATTATCCAAAAGTATAGTTTTCATCTACCTCCTACATGAATTACGAAAAGGCTTGAGAATCATAAATCAGAAAACTGGAAACTGGGGGTGTCAATTGCAGTAGGTTATTATGTGGCAGATATGCAACACTTACTGGAGTGGTTTAAACTACTACCTATACACAACCTACTAAAGTATTACACAGCAGTAGAAAAAAAAAAAAAGATTACAAAAATAAATAGATTTTGCAGGTTCTGTATGTCAAAAGTATATGGCATAAAATAGTTGCAAACTTTGATAGTGTTATAAAGGCAAATAGTGAAGCTGGCTACACAGAGCAAACTTTGGCCAATTCAGCAGAAATTTGATCGTTGGTTACCCTATCCCTTCGACAGAAGTCGATCATTAGACTGACTTTTGCATAAGAAAGATGTTGAAATATCGTTGGCCGAATGGTGCTTGCAACACTACTTTTCACAGCACAGGTAGTAGCACTGATAGTGTTAAAGGGGTTTAATACTTAAAGTAAATATTTCCTGGATATAGAGGCTGACATTTATGACTGCTCATTCTGCAACTGCTAACTGTATTGTGGTCTTACTATCTCTAGCGTCGATACATTAAATCACTAACCCAGAACAAATAAGCTGTTTAAGACATCTTACTTTACTTAGACTTGCCTTTCTTCACATTGTTCAAGGCCAGTATCTAAGACAGTGGAAACGTTTAAAGCAAAGCAAGAACCATTTCAATAAACCAGTAAAAATAAGTAATATCTTGATATTAGTCTTGTTTAATCATTTGCACATAAGCCTTTAGGGTCTCTAGTGCTTGGCACAGAAATTACCCTATTAGTGTGCTGCTGCTGGAAATTCCAGTCCTGCACCAAGCTGTAGTGGGATATCATTTTTCTATCTGTTTGTATTCCCAAAGGAAAGATATCTCCACACATCCTGAAGACACATTAGGTGAGAGTAAATCGCTCCAAAAGTGAGGTGTAAATCTCTCCAAAAAGTGGGGGGTAAATCCATTCTCTGAATTCTCACGATTGGGTGTCCCCACTGCAATTTTACCTTCTACTTCTGTTGGGGGTATGACTAAAAAATGTTAATATTCCCTATTGTGCCAGTGACAAAGGTCTCCAGAACAAACAGTGCCATTGTAGCTCGCCAAAGGAGGTCCAACAAAAAAAACTTGAAATGCAGTTCTAATCCTCCAATCCAACTTAAACTAATTGTAAAGTCACAGCATACACAGCATACATTATCCTGTTATAACATTAGCATTGCAAAAGGAATGCATACTATAGTTGTTTGTAATAATGTAAGCAGTATAGGATTGGATTACCAAAACAGAACACAGGGCAGGTTCCATGTACTCCAAGAAAAGGATTTTCCAGGTAAGACCAATACCCTGTTTTCTTGATTGTACATCACATGGCACAGGAAGTTAATTATTGTACCAATGGGACGTTCAAAAGCAGTCCAACAGATAGGTGGGCAAAACATGAACTATGACAGAAGGAGCCCACAACACAGGGGGCCGTCTGAA